TATATAATTATTTTCTTTTTGATTAAAAATAAAAAAAAACAAAAAAAATTAAAAAAAAAAGAATGCCGCTTAGGGTGAATGCATCGGTATAGAGATGAACTAGGGAGATTTGCTCAACGTCCAGATTTAGAAACCCCTAGTGAAATTTTATCCGACTCGTCTTCTATGTCTCTGTTTTTGCACTTAACGCGCACGGCCACCCCATCTTACATCATGTTCCCACCGAATGCACCGCCTACGGATTTTAAGCCGGGCATGATTGCACTTTTTCCAACCTTTCACATATTAGAGAACGAGAATCCATATGTACACATTCGGGAGTTTGAAGAGGTGGTGGCCACCTTTCACAGCCGTGCTGAGGCCGCAAACACTGTCAGATTGAAGTTTTTCCCTTTTTCTCTGAAGGATAAGGCCAAAAGCTGGTTGTATTCTCTCAGGCCCAAGTCTATTAGTACGTGGGAAGAAATGACGACGACATTCTTCAACAAGTATTTCCCACACCATAAGACTAATAATTTAAAACGACAGATCTCGAATTTCGCTCAGAAGGAAAACGAAACTCTCTATCAAGCTTGGGAGCGTTTAAAGATCTGTTAAAATCTGTGTCCCCACCATGGATATGAAAGTTGGCGCCTCGTAAGCTATTTCTACGATGGACTCACAATCTGAGAGCGCTAATTTGTCAAGATGATGTGCAATGAGGATTTTCTCCAAAAGGATCCTGACGAAGCTATCGAGTACCTGAATGAGTTAGCTGAGAAAGCTCATACTTGGACTGGACCGAGTGCTACTGAGAGCACTGGTAGGTCCCGACCAGCTGGAGTTTATCAATTGAGGGAAGAGGACAGTCTTAAGGCCCAAGTTGAAGCTTTGACGAAGCAAATTGAGGCCCTCAAAAGTAAAGATAGTAAAGGACCCTACATGGTGGCAAGGACAGAGGCACATGAGCCTTGTTTAGTTTGTGGTGGAATGGGCCATCTAGCTCAGGATTGCCACACTTTAAGTGAAATGAGAGGGGTATATGAGGAGCAGTGCAATGCATTAGGCACATACAAGAAGCCTTACGGACCTTTCTCACGGAGACTTATAATCCTGGTTGGAAAAACCACCCGAATTTCAGTTGGCGAGATTCGAACCAACAAGCACAATCATCTAGAAGGCAATGGAGATCAGAGCAACAATCTCAACCACCAAGGACATATTTTGCGCCTCAGAATAATATACAGTCGAAAGGGAATTCTCTAGAGGATACCCTAAAAGCTTTTGTGGACGCGCAAAATAAGACGAATCAAAGGGTTGATTCGATGCTCACGCAGCTGGTGGAAGAGAACAAGGAAATCAAAAGTCAGATCACAAAGTTGACAGAAGCTTTAACCATTCAGGAGCACGGTAGATTCCATCACAAGCCCAGTCCAATTTGAGAGGACAACACATGGCTCAAACTTCCAACTTTGAAGGTCAAAATATCAAGGAAGTTAACGCCATCTCTACTCGAAGTGCTAAGAATTTAGACACGGCATCGACAAGTACAACCACTTCGAGTAATGAAGAATAGGCTCAGGAGAAAGAAGAGCCAACTAAAATTCCGGTGAAGGTGCCTTTTCCCCAAGCTCTCCGACCTGCTGGGAAAGTGCCGGAAAATCAAAGTGAGATCCTGGAGCACTTGACACAATTGAAGATCAATCTTCCCTTACTACACGTGATCAAGCAAGTGCCAGCCTACGCCAAGGTTATCAAGGATCTGTGCACCATAAAGAGAAAGCACCACGTCAAGAAGACTGCATTCTTGACGGAACAAGTGAGCGCGGTGATTGAGCAGAAAACACCGCCGAAGTATAAGGATCCAGGTTGTCCTACCATTTCTTGCCAGATCGGGACACATGAATTCTACCAAGCGTTACTAGACCTAGGATCGAGCGTGAACCTCATGCCTTATTCGGTCTACTCGCAATTGGGTCTTGGAGAGATTAAGCCCACAACTGTGGTTCTGCAACTGGCCGATAGATCCATTAAGAGACCACGGGGAATAGTGGAAGATATTTTGTTGCAAGTCGACAAGTTTTATTACCCCGTGGACTTTCTTGTCTTGGATACACAATCCGTGGTGAATATGGAGTCATCCATTCCCATCATTCTAGGAAGACCCTTCCTTGCCACAACAAACGCACTTATCAATTGTAGGAATGGTCTCATGAAGATATCTTTTGGGAATATGACCCTTGAGGTGAATATTTTTCATATTCAACAGCAACCACGTGATGATGACGAGTGTCACCAAACATTTATGATCAACACACTTGTCGAGGAGGGGGTTCTGCCGCAAAGCAACTCTGAAGATCTGAAAAATCTCCTCCAAAATTCTGATTCTAAAAATTTCGGTTCTGTTGAGTTGGCTCACTTGTCTGCAATTTTCAGCAACTCACAGGACAGAGGAACCAAGTTTGGGTCACCATGTTTTCAGGAGCTCCCAACAGAAGGAGAAAAACCGAAATCATCCACTGAGGAGGCTCCAAAAGTCAAGCTAGCCCAACCACCTGAGGGCTTAAAACATGCGTTCTTGGGAAATGAAGGCACATTCCCAGTCATCATCTCGTCTAAACTCGATGCATTGTAAGAACAACGATTGATTGACATGCTAAAAGAGCGTAATTCCAGGATCAAGGTGAAAATGAAAGCGACTCATGACAAGCAGAGCCTGAGGAAGAATTACTTAGAGCGGGTGAACCAGGTGGAAGAGATCATTTCGACGACCCCGTTTACCAGCCTTGAGTAGTTTGCTCACATCTTCTGTACCATATTTTGATTTTTTGTTTTTCTTTGCATTTTTTTTATGTGTGTTTTTGGAGAATCATATCAGGAAGCTCAGGCTGTGCTCATAAGTGGAAAGCTCATCGTCCAGGTGTCTTCTTTCTCTATTTTTCATAATTTTTGACACTGAGGACACTGTCTGATTTTGGTTGGGGGTGGTGAGCATATTCATGCGTAAGAGTGATTTTTGTCACGTTGATATTTGGGTTAAAATTTTTGCAAAGTTGTCTGAGTATGATTTCAAAATGTTTGGTTTGAGTCGATTTTCGCTGTCTTGGTTACTAAGAAATTACTTCCAGAGTTTCTTTTTGCACATGCTAGACCTTGTGGTAAGATGGATGTTAATGCATGTCAGCTGAGAAAATTCTTGAGTTTAAGTGCTTGATTTTTGGTGAGTCAAGAGAGTAGAGAAAATGACTTTTGAACTTTCATTGATCTTTTGAGCTGGTAAAATCACTATTAGAACATCATTACATGGTTAGTGGTATGCTTGATGCATATGCTTGAGGGATGGATTTTGGGTTAGATAGGAATGATCTTATGTAATAGAGCCTCATTTCTTATTTTTCTTTAAAAAAAAACAAAAAAAAGACTGAGCAAGAGCAACATTTCACAGATCTTGTAGTTTAGTGTTAATCACATTTGATGCTATATAGCTATTTGTTAAAAGAACACCTTTCTACATTCACTTCAGGTTGTCTCTTACCAAAAAAAAAACAAAAAACAAAAAAAAAGAAGTAATTATTTTCCTATGCATTTTTTTTGGCTCTTTGTTCGTTTATGTAAATTTCTGTTTGACCCGAAGGAAATCTCAAAAGCGGGTTTGTGGTAAGAATGGTGGAATGTTCTAGTAGTTGATTAAACCTATCTTTTGGTCAACGTTCGTTTGACTGTTTGTCCTAAATTTGACCTTCCTCACACTGAGCGTTGATTGTTTCATTTCCAACTCCATGAGAGAAAACCTTTGCACTCAAATATTAGATCAATGGGGTTGAGGCTTCTACTTGGTGAATTTTTCAAAGCTGCATGTGTTATGGTCAGTGGTAAGAAGGTTATGGTTTGAAGCACACACACACGACTCTGGAGTTATGACTGAAATAACCTTGATAGTATCTTTTGACTTCTTCCTGACAGTTTGTTTGAAATACTCAGGTGACTAAGCGAGTTGAGACTTAGATTTTCTTTGTGACATGATTTCTCTTGCGCTTGGATTGCTAGAGACTAGCAATAAGCAGGTTGGGGGTTGTGATCAGTGCATGAATATGCACCCTAAATACTGCTTTTGATTTATATAATATTAAAATATTTAAGCTTTAATTAAGCAATTCCATTATTTTTATTCATAATATTTTTAATTGGAATTTGTCTAGTTTTTGCTTAATTATTTACAGATAAAAAGTAGTATAAAAAGCTACACTAAATTAAGCCATGAAAGCCATATTTTCAACAACACAGAGCCAAGCCGTTCAGCTAAGCCGAGTCAAAGCCACCGAGCCAAGCCACTGCACAGTCAGCGCGGAAATCCGCGCCCGTCTCTCCCGCCATCGCGCGCCTCGCGCGTCAACCGTACGCGGCACCTCAGGGAGCGCGTCCCATGCACGCGCGTTCTCTTGCGCGTTCCAAGGCTTTCCTCCCATGGGTCCCGCGTCTGCTCACGCCAGACCTGCCGCTCACTCTGCACACGACACTTGTCCAATGTGGGTCCCAGCTGTCCCCGCGACAGCCTTCTGCCAGCACACGCCAGCCACTCTGAGCACGACACGTGGTGGCTCAATTCCCTGCCTCCAACCAAGCTTCGACACGTGTCTAGATGATGTGCTGAATCCGGATTTCTTCTCCTCAAATTACCAGATTTCTTCCCCAAATCAAATATATGATTTCTCCTAATTTATGTGTAATTTTATTTTATTTCCTTTTCTTTTATAATTTTATAATTTTACTATTTATTTCCTTATTTGACAGGCAACCTCTAAACACTATAAATAAAGGGGTTAGCCTAAGGTTTTGAAAAGCTTTGAATATTCAGTTTTTTGTCGTCTTGCTGTCAGTCTCATATTTTCTCTCTAGAACTTGTGAGAATGTTTTGCAAGATAGGCTAGAGTTTTCTTGGTGAGGTTAGAGATGAACTTCTGTTGAGTGACCCAATTCGGGGTTTTGATTCCTTGTTCTGTAAACTTCAACATCTGAATGAATTAAATCTCATCTATTTTTCTATTACTTTTCAAAATATTGTGTGCCAATTTTATATAAGTTCAGTCACGCTTTTCTTATGTAATTCTGTCATGTAATGTTTTGTTATTCAAATTATTTTACAAATTGTCTTTTACTGCAATATTGTCAGATTGATATATTGTCGATTTTAGATAACTTGTAATAATAATATTTCTGGAGTCAACATATATATTTAATTTATTTGGTTATTTAATATTGTGAATCAAAACTTGGATTGGTGAATGAAACATTAGGGATTCTCGACACCTCACCGTTTTTATTATTGAATTTTCTTCATACAAATTCCCTCATTTCTATTTTATTTGCAACAAAATCTCAAAGACTATTCTTTTTCTTTAATTCACTTTTCTCTAATGCTCTTATTCTGTTAGTCTTTCTTGTTATTTTGTTATCTCTCTGTGGATACGACCACCCTTCTGTGCTACAATTGACCGCTTATGAATATCACTTTTGGGCGTTAATCAAGAGATAATATTTTTTCCTTTATAATAGGAAATTGGTCAGAACAATCGATATCTAAAAAGTCACGTAAGTTTTCTAATCCACTTTCTAAACCTAATAATTTTAATCTAGGGTCGAAAATAACACCGAAACCATACAACATTGGTAATTTAGACCAATACTTTTTAAACTTCTTTTCCACAGAAGCGATGGGAACTCCTAAAATCTCGTGTGTCTTAAATTCACTAAATGAAATAGCCATTCTTAAAAGTTCTCCTAACGCTAATGGTGACGTTGGGTAATAAGTTCCACTAAGCTTTAAGTAACTTCGTGAAATCTACCTAAAAAGTTATACAAGAGTTTGGTAATTTGTCAATTAGTTTTGTCTATAAATCCTGGTCCTAATTTTGCACTAACATAGTTTGTTATAACATCTTTATAGGGGATGCATTGGTCAAGCATTATATAAGTGGAGTTCCATCTTACGGGCATATCTAAGGCTAATGCTCTAAGAATTTGATTACATGCTTGTAGAAACCTAAACCAATATTGTATTATTTGATTACTACCTTGAATCCAAGCAATGTTATTTCTAATTCTTTTAATATGACCTGACATTGATTTTAAACCGGATTTTACTATTAAATTAATTATATGACATGCACAACGTTGGTGAAATATATCATTATTACCGAATAAACTTAAATCATTTTCAAAAAGTTCTATTGCTTTAGTATTTGCAGTAGCATTATCTAATGTTATGACCATTACTCTATCTCTTAAACTATATTCATCAATGACAGATAAAATTGTATTATATATTAAATTAGCGGTATGTGATCCTATAACACATTTAAAATCTAATATTCTCTTATCTAAATCAAAACCTTTAAAATAATGTCCGGTTACAGCTAAATAATCTTTGTTGGCAACGGCGGACCAAATATCCGTTGTTAACGCAATGCAACCACTAGTAGAGTGTAAAAGGTTGATTAATGCTTCCCTTTATTGTTTATATAATTTTAATGCATCTTTCCTAAGAGTAGTTCTTGAAAAAAATTGTACATTAGGATTATGTACAATTTTAATATAACGCTGCTAATTCCTTTTTTTGGTAAAATTAAGTGGTTGATCTAATGTGGCTACTAATCGTGCCATTTCCATACGATCGACTTGCGGATCGTATTTTCAAGTGCTTAGACCGCCGGTTTGACAGTCAAACAATAATTGTGTTTGGTAGAGATCGGCTCTGCCTCCTTGGTTTTGAAGACACTTTTCAGAGTGTCTTCTCAAGTGTGTAGTACCGTGAATAGTGTTACCTTGTAATTTATCACCATAATATTTACATTTATCACCACAGCATTTAACGTTACCGTTATTGTCGACTTCCTCGAATGTGTTGAAGTGCTCCTAAACTTTTGAGGTGCGCTTGCTTTTCTTCTTAGAACTTGCAACACTTACACTAGCACTTCCGCTTGCTTCTCCTCCATGCCTACCACCATTACGTTCACGACCTCTAGTACGTCCACCAAGGCTCGGATTTGCAGTTTTCTCAGCAGCTCTTTCTGTTGTTTGCGATTCCTGCGTATGAAAACATTAGTAGGAAATTGCCCTTCTTCGATGTTGAATTGGGCATCAACGGGAATATCACCACCATAACCAAAAGAATCCATTATGAAAAATAAGAGAGATTGAGAGCGCTTTGAGAGAGATTAAGAGATATTGAGAGATATTTGAGCGAGATTAAGAGAGATTTGAGAGAGATTAAGAGAGATTTGAGAGAGATTAGGAGAGATTTAAGAGAGATGGAGAGAAATTAAGAGAGGATGAGAATTTTTAGGTGAGGAAAATGGTTGGGGGAGGGGGGGTATTTATAGGAGATTTTTTGGGTTGAAAAAAAGTTTTTTTCCCTCAAATTTTCGGTTCCAACGGTAACACACACTCGGGTTGGGTTGGGTTCGGGCAGTGGGCCGGGCCTGGCAAAAAGTAGCTGTTGCATTTAAAAGTCGGGCTAACGGTAAAAAAATTCGGGTCAGGTAAAAATTCAAAAAACTAGCCATTTTTTTTGGGATTCGGGCAAAAATTCAGACAACGGGCCAGGCTTTGGGTTACGCGGGAAAATTTTAAAAAAATTCCGACGGACAGCGGTCTTGGGTTCTCCACGGGGCGGGCTGCTAGGAATGGTTTTTCTTTGAGTTGCCCGAGCCTGAGCCCGGCTAAAATGGTTGGACGGGCGGCGAATGGTGTCTACCCGCCGAACCTGAAAATTTTCATGGTTCAGGTAAGCCCGCCGCCCGAAGTTTCAGCACCGGTTTAGAGTTTGTTATTTATTCTCAAGAACTGAGCTAATTTGTATGAATTGGGACGAAAACCAATGGCAATACAATTAGAATTAGTCGTATGCATCGAGGCGCACCTCGTGTCGAGGCAAGGAGAAACATCCTTAAAGCTTACGCATTGAGGTGTAGGAGGTGAGGCACACGCTCTGAGCTGGCATGTGCTTCAGTTTAGAGCTTGTTATTTATTGTCAAGAACTGAGCTAATATTGTATGAATTGGGACGAAAACCAATGGCATTACAATCACAGAATTAGTGACCCTAAAAATAAAGAGGATAATACTCAGCCGAATAAATAACAGAAATTATTCAAGTAAATTTCCCTGAAATCATCATGTAATATAGCTCAAATTCCCCATATACCCAAATCAAACCCTGAAACTTGCGGCAAAAAACAAAAAACCAAACAACAAAACAAAATAAATCAAACTCAGATTCCCATATAGCTTCACAATTTTTCTCTCTCACAGCACAAGCATTCCCACCAAACCAGCTATTCCCACTGCAAATCCAACCTTAGTTGATCCAATGGCATCATTACTTGGCTGTTCATTTGGTGCTGGTGCCGAAGCTGGCGATACCAGAGTTAGTGTCTCCACACACAACATTAGCTAACACCTTCTGGCCCTTCTGGCAGTGGCCCTTTGCCCCGCTGATGAAATAGAACGGTTTGCACTGATCCAACTCTATCAGCGTCTTCTTGTTCCTGTATCTTTCGAGCGGCTTTGATGTGTTGCAGCCGTTGAAGTTCTTCTCCGTCACTCGGAGCACCGAGTCCTTTTTGGGGTCGAACTTGAATACTGTTTGTAAAATAGCAGAGGAAATGAGAGAAGATCTAGGAACATTGAAGTGGATTTTTCCGTGAAGAAAAACTCAGCTGAACAATTTGGTTACTATGATACCTTCTAAAAGGTTTCCTAGCATCAAATGTAGCATTGGAGTTTGGTAAACCGTAACGTTAAATTATAAGGTCAAAATATATAAGATCATAATATACATGATACTAGGATTGTTTTGTCCATTTCTTTTGTTTTTTTGTTTTTTTTCAAGATGTATGTTTACACAGCTTTTAGAATGAAAAAAAAGGAACAGTTTAAGTAAAATGATAATAAACACTGCATTCTTTTCTTGGTAAAGGGAACATATAATGCACAAAATAATAAGAGACAATTTTGATGTTGGTTAAGAGAGAGAGAGAGAGAAAACAAACGATTTAATTTTAACTAATGATAATTACCATAGTGTCATATCTTGATTCAAGGGCTATAATGTAATTTCTACTTAACCACTTATATTGCAATTTCTATTAAAAACAGATAGAAAAAAGAGAATAACGCAGTCACATAATTTTTCTGTTTGGAATTCTGTTAAAAAAAAAGATAAAAATCACATAATCACATTTCATCCCCTTCCTTTTTCGTTTGATTTTAACAGAAATTACATAAAAAATAATTAAGTGAGAACAATTCAAAATTTAGTGGGTAAAGTGAGAGTTTTTAAAGTTCATGGGCAAATTGAGAATGACTCTAAAATTCAGGGGGCACCATTGAGAATAATCCAAAAAATAAAAGAGAAAAAAAAAGGAAAATACATGAATCTTATGAGCACAAAAGAAAATGATGTGCAACTTTTTATCCAATTATGGGACAAACTTAGACGGGAAAATCATGTAGTGATGTTAGAACAATGCAATTACGAAAAAGGCGTGTGTCAAACTAATATTTAGAAGTTGATCAAGAGAGGAGTCAATTAGATTAAAATTACTGAGAATATCGCCACGTTCAAATATGGTGTTTTTGGCCCATTCATCAAGATGAGTAATACTCTCCGAGGAATTTGACGGAAGAGTCCATGAATTTTCTTTGCCACCAACCAGAATTTCCTTTGCCTTGGAGAAGGTGAACAAGAGAAAAACCATGGTCAAAATGGGAATTATGATTTTAGGGCAAGCCATAGGGTTTTGATTATATTTTGTGACTCTAATGAAAAAGATTAATATTAAACAATGTAATGCTTTTTAAAATATATATATATATATGTGAGACAATATAGTTTTTAACTGATTAAGTGATATTTTATAACAGTTAAGTTTTATATTTTTATATTACCTCAAATCGATAGATGTACGTCACGTGTCAGAAACCGGCTAAATAGATTAGTCTTGTAATTTGATCGACCTTTGGCTGTAAATTAAAATCATCTCCCTTTATATACTAGTTTGAATGCGAAATGTCTCTTCAATTTACTATATGAGTATTAACCTTTCAATTTTAGTAACCTTTTAAATTTTTTATAAGTAGGCAAATAGGTTTCTTTGTAACCCCTCAAAACGAACAATATGTACACTTTGTTAGGATTACAATACTTGGCAATAATATTAATCATACATGTCATATTCAACAAAGCAAGCTATCCTTTAATTGAAAAAAAAAAAAGGAGAGCATTTTGCACGCTTGGAAACATAAAGTTTCACTTTCAAGGTTCTTATACTACAAAGTAATAATACTCATCAAATCGTGTGAATCTAGGCTTGGTCTAGAGATAAATAATTCCATACAGCCTCCAATGTTTAGGTTCAGAATTCAAATACCTTAATTTTCCAAAAAAAAAAAAAAACTTATGAAACGGCTGGCGATTTGTTAGGGGTAAATGTCAAAACTTTATTTATTTATTTTTGCTTGAAAGGCCAAAACTTTTATTTTTGAAGAAATTTAAATAAGGCTTCATGCAACTTTACGTTGCAATGAAATGAATGCATAGTATTCTCCACAAGTAACCAATGCAATATATTATAATCCAAATCAACCACCACTTCCATGGCGAGCATACAGATTATGCTATTCCGTGTTGCAAGCAGTGTTGCAAGTAGTGAGTGATCGACACGCCACCCGTTTAGTGAGAATATTATTCTAATTTAACTATTAACTTACTTAATTTGTTTATTTATCTATCATTACTTTGTCAATTTTTACGTTGCTAACTTTCTAATTTTCATTTTACTCAAATTAAATTTTATTAGAAGATGTTTGCTTAAAAAATACTTATCTAAAATTTTACTTAAAAATTGAATAATTCAAGTCAATTTCGTGTGCATCCGCTTAGCTATTTTGGGTCGAGTGTTAATAATTAAATAAGAAAATGAAAGGAAGAAGAGAAGAACATTTAATGTGGTCTGGGAAGATTTCTGCTACATCCACATATTAAGAAAAGAAAGAAAGTTTACTCGTAAGTGGCATTATGAATGAGACTCTATATAAATAAACACTATACACGTAATTGGGTAAATTACCAAAGATTAAAAAAAAAACAAAACAAAAAAGTTCCCAATATAAGATAAATACAAATAAATTAAAACTAGCAATAAAAGGTATAACAATACATAAAATACTAACTTTCCGAGTGTGTGTTGTGTTATTGTGTTGTACCCATATTGTCACCCGTTGTTCATAGGATATGTCCGTCTGTTAGGCTTCTGTTTATATGATCACTTGCCAACTCAAATAATTACGAATTTTTCCCTTTAAAAAAAAATAATTTTTTTTTTTTATTTTTTTTATTTTTTTTTTATTTTTACCACAGCATGATACCAAATATATAACATAACCAACTCAGGTGAAAAAAGAAAACTTATATTAATCCTTAACTCATAAGTTTGAAACGTGATTAATTAGTATTTGATTCCTCTTTATTAATTATATACATGCTATATTGTCCCACATCATTCACTTGTGTACCCCTAAACTATCTATATGTCTAATATTCTCCTTTTCCCCTTTCCAAACAAGGTTTGGTGTCATGCAATATGGTGTTAATTTGCTTGTGTGAACTTAATTAGAGGATAAAACAAAGAATTGATTTGAACTGATCATAAGGCAATTGAATTTATTAGTAACATAAATTCCAAATGATAGAACATCGATCTTCAAAAGAAAATGCATCCTATTCCATACCTCACAACAAAGATAATAATAATAATAATATAAAATAATTAGAGAAAAAAAAAGCTCAGTTTTTACTGCATTCCTCAAGCATTTTTCCCCCCTCTCTCAGAACATAAGCATGTAATTGGTCACCAAGGAACCAATCCCAACAGCAAACATTCCAAGCTTATTCTTGCTAAGTCCACAAGCAGTGCCAGCTAATGGACGTGGTTGATCAGCTGGCGCTGGAGTTGGAGCTGGAGCAAGAATATTATTCGGTTCATGATGATGATGATGATGTCGAGACATAACGACCATAGCCAACTTCTGGCCTTTCTCGCAATGTTCCTTTTTTCCGCTGATGAAATAAAATGCCCCTGAATGGTTCAACTTGATCTCGGTATGCCCTTCGTCGTGTTTCGTAATCGGTTTAGACATGTTGCAGCTCCGATAGCTCTCCTCCGTCACTTCCAGTACCGAGTCTTCCCCAGCGTGGTATTTCCATACCGTTGAGGAAGAGAAAAACATGTAAGAATTATATGGACCTCCGCATATATATCTTTGATATATTAAAACTATGATCAAGAGTTGGTATCCTTAGAATTATCATGGAAATAAAAAATAATGGTTGAAGAAGTCATGGTTAAGGAATATTATTCATATTGATCTCTTTTCTGTTTATTTTCAAAAGTACATTGTGAAAATCATGCATCAAAGTTATAATTTTTGTACCTTCATATAAATTATTTATGCTTGAAGTGTTTAAGTACATTATTACTCTAAGTTCTTAATACAATGAAGGAAAAGGTAAGCATTTATGATCATGCATGGAGGGAAAATTTGTAATAGTACCACTTAACAGAGGCGATTTGTGATGAAACAACTTTTTCAGAGGCAAATTCAGGCATTTTCAGAAACGAAAACTGTTCTTGATAGTGATAGAAAACTAGAAAGTAAGATGTGCTAAGAAAAAAGAGTAATCCATATATTAATAATAATTGAGTTAAAAGGGAAGGAATTATGTGCAAAATAGAAAATCCATTTAATACAAAAGGCAAATATGATAATAATATTGGTAATATATATATATATATATATAAACGCGAGAGACTAACTCAAGTGGTTGGGTGCGTGAGTGTGTTCGCGTATTATCAGAAATATTTGAATCTTAATGGTTTCATTTCTAGAAAGAAAAAAAAATGTATATATGGATTAGATGAATAGTTACTTAGAACATCGCCAACTTTGAATCGGGTTTTCTGCGCCCATTCATTGAGGGTCTGCGAGAAGTTTGATGGAATGTTCCATGAATTTTCTTTGCCTCCAACCAGAATTTCTCGAGCTTCTGACAAGCTAGGTGACAGCAGGAAAACAATGGCAAGAAACTGAATTAAGTTTCTTAAGAAATCCATATTCGATATTCAAACACTACAATTTTGGTGAAGAAGAAGAAGAATTGATGTGATTGTTTAGTTTGGCTTGAGTACGAAGTTTGACTGAGCTCAAATGTTTATATATATAGCCGTTGGGATTGGTTTGGGACTCACGACGGGAATATGCTGAGAAGCCAAGCCATGACACGTGGCAGAAACCCAGTTGGCGACTTGCCTTTTACGATTTGATTGACAATTGGACCGAAAATGAATTCTTCTTCCTATTTGAAGCAAAAATGGTTCTTCATCCTCCAAGGTATATATATCCTTCCTTGTCAATTTCCTCATGTAGTTTTTGAATGTATGAACTGGTTTTTTTTTTTTTTTTTTTTTTTTTTTTTTTTTTTTTTTTTTTTTGTGATTTGGTCATATAACTACTTGACGAGGCTTTTCACTTTCAGATTGGGTAAGATCATGCAGCATAATTTAATCAAATTATATGATATTATAGCAAATACCGAAATATATTTTTTTTCCCTTTTTTCAATGTGGACACTATAAAAAAAAAGTTAGAGATAGGTTTTTTTATTAGATGAGATTATAGTTATTTATTTCAATTATTGATGGGGGATACATTCACAAATTTACATATAAAATACGGCCAACTGAAAAAAAAAAAAGGAGAAATTATAGAGATAAAAAAAAATCGATGGTTTATATGGTGCTTGATGTCCATAATTCCAACTTTTAAAGATTGCAAGTATATTGTTTCTCCGACAGAATTCACCACACAAACACCGAAACCCTTAAGATTTGGAAGCATATCGTTTCATTTTATAATTTCATGCTCAAATTTATAAATATATCATATTCTTGATATTGGTGGTGGGAGTTCTTATCAGACACAATAGAAGAATAATAAAAAAAAAATCAAATTCTTAAAATTTGAATATGAGCATGTGTCCCGCTGAATAACATGTAGCCCTGCCACTAATTACAAGAATTAAATTGTATTACATTTCTATCCAAAAGAAAAAAAAAATTATATTATTTTTTCGGAAGGAATTGTGTAATTCGTTTTAAACTATTACAGCAATTTGTGGCCAACTTAGCATTGCTAAATCGTTGAAAGTATTTGTAGTAGTTATACTATTAGTAAAAAACTACTATATAGAAGAAACTTAAGTGTTTGGTTTTCTTTTTTCTTTTCAAAGCTGTTGAACTATGTATAAAATTATTGTGTGGATGTATAATGACTAAAATAGATATATTTTAATACACCTATTTATAGTTTTAATTTTTTAAATGCTAATCTTAAGATCAACATTCACAATACTTTTACACCAAATACTAAAAAACTAATTTTAATTTTTCAATAATATTTATGATTTATTGTTGTTAATTTCAATAATCGTAACAATTACAATAATAAAATTAACACTAAATTTCTACTTTTCTTGTTATTTTAAAACATTTTATTAATTGTAAAATTTTTTCGAGTAAACTTTAGTATAGTATATTTTGTAATGTTTAAATATTTAAAATATAATTATTTATTTATTACTGAGAAAAAATGAGTAGATTGAATTATGTTTTAATAATTCTTATTTTAGTAAATTTAGTCAAAGGCACCAGAAACTGCTTTGTAAAAAAAATTATCTATTTTGCATTTTTAATCTGATTTTAATAAAATTAAATTACTAGAACGAAAATAGTAAAAAATATGCCAATATAAAAAGCTTAAAAAAGTATATTGACCAATATTTAGTTATAGAAATTAATAGGCCATAACTTGTCAAGTTATGGTTCATAACCAGATAAGTTATGGACAAACTTGTCAAGTTATGGTTCATAGCCATACAAGTTATGAACAAAAACCGTCAACAACTTGTCAAGTTATGGTTCATAACCAGATAAGTTATGGACAAAAATAATAATTTGACCTATTTATTAACTTATGTAAACTATTAGCCTATTAATTTTAATTCATCTCAAATTTTAGCCTATTTCTCTCTTTCTCCCTTATCATATTTCTCTCTTTCTCCCTTACCAAAAAAACTCCCTATTTTATTCGGGTTGGAACTTCGCAAGAGTTATGTTGGATTGATCGCGTTTATTTCGATCAACCCACTATTTTAATTACAGGTCCACATACAACTAAAAGAAATAATGAGTCATCATCAACTTATCTTTGGATAAGATCAAAGAACGTGGTCGGCCATTACTCTGCCATAAGGGTTTGCCTTTTACCATGGTTTTGCCAACATGCTTGAAGTCCAAGCATTAATGAAAAATGAGCTTTTGTTGTTAGTGTGCGTTTCTAAACATTTGAGTAGTATAACCTAATAAAGATTTATCAACTAGATATGAGAAATTATATACGTATATCAACCGTTTCTATTAGAATTTGGTCCGTATACTCTAAAAACTCTCATCTTGAATTTTGAATTGATTCTACTTAAATCTTTTCCTACCCAGACACGAAAAAAAGCATCATGTTGTTAAAACTTTCATTAAAAAATACGTGAAAAAGATCACAAAACCACACTTAACTCTCACATATTCCTGTCTGATTTGAACATAAATTCTAACAAAAGAGGTTAAATGGGACAACTATTCCAAAATCCGGAGGCAAAACGAGTTTTAAAATTTAAGAGAGAAAGAATGACCCAAAAGTTCCGATAGCACTAGTGAGATTAACCTTATCATTTATGACTCCTACGATCCAATTCTGGTCTTCAATTCATTCAATATGACGAGGCATTGCAAAAGCAGCCACCAAAAAACTAAATCATTTCACAAACTTCTGGTGCGTGTGTGCTATGACTAAAAGAAGATGCAGTCTTGCAGACATGATTAAAAGAAAATTCTAGCATATAACATAATTTACAGCCGCAAAAGGACCGATTCATCTCCAACAAGACAATTTATGGGGTCATAGAAGGAAACAACACCACAGAGGTTTGACAACAAACAAAGCAGCAGAGTTCAAAGAGTGAAATAGCAAATTGCGAAGCGTGCAAATGAAGACCAAACCAAACTATAAGATTTCGTCACTTGGAAGAGTAGTCAACAGGCAAAGCAGATTCATCACTTGAGGAGGGTCTTGACTATTGATTTCACGTTGAGCTTCTTCAGGTCCGTATACGACTGCCCACAGCCAACAAACATGACAGGAGCTCCAGATATGTAAACCATGGAGAGTGCAGCTCCAACCTACAAAAAAAAAGTCAATTCAGTTACACCAAATATTTCGAACAATTGAAATGTCCGATTGTTAAGAAGAGTTTGTCTACCTTGTCATCAATAGTATCAAACTTGGTGAGCAATATTCCATCTATCAGTCTAGGGTTAGGCGATGTTGACAAGTCCGCTAATTTCTGCAGATAAAAGGGAAGTTCTCAGTAACTTATTCTTGTAACAATTGATAGGATTGGTCGATATACTTGGAATTGGATGACAGGAACACATTATGAATTGAGAGTTCAAACCTGGTTAAACTTTGAAAGCTGATCAACGGCATCATTTCCAACCAGTGCCTCTCCGACGAACAAAACAAGGTCAGGATTGTTGAGGTATACGAGCTTTGAGAGTGCCCTCATTAGTGGTTCATTATCCTGAATTGCATATAACACGTCAGGGATTCAGAGCTAAAATATGAAAGTAGCAAAATACAAATCAAATTTGTAAAAATAAGATTTCAAGCAACTAATAGCCTCTTTTGTCCACCACAAAGATGTTGCTAACAAATAATAACTAATAAAAATAAAGGACTTACCTGCATTCTACCAGCTGTATCAACAAGAACCACATCAGAACCATTCCGTGTAGCTTCCTGGATTGCTTCCTTTGCCACAATTGCAGGATCTTTTTCATACCCCTTTTCGAATATAGGGATCTGACAATGAAAGTTGATTAAAGTTAATAATCACTATCCAGACCACAATAATGTCATGTGCGTGCATAAAGCCCATACTTGGTGAACATGCCTATGTTTTATAAATACCACATATTGTACCTGAAGTCTGCGTGCATGAGTCCGCAGCTGCTCAACCGCTCCAGAACGGAATGTATCACAAGCAGCCATCGTGACACTGACCTTATGCTGCAGTAGCCAGTAAGCAACCTGCAAAATTGCAAATAAGCCAATAACTATCTGTTAAAATGCGCGTCCTTAATTATGTATATGCTAGTGTAGAAAAGGGATAGCAAATAAACCTTAGCCAAGTTGGTAGATTTTCCAACTCCATTGACACCAACAAAAACAACAACGTATGGTTTCCTTTGCTCCTTGGCGGCATGCACATCTCTCAAGATATCAATAGAGCGCCTAGGAGTCAAAATGCGAACAAGGGCTTCTTCCATCGCTGCCTGTAATCAGTTTCAAACCTACAATTAGCCTCAACAAGAAAGAAAGAAACGGCAACATCATTTACTGGAATAAGTCACAAACCTGCACTGTCGAAGAAATCCTTGTGAATGAAGCCAACTTTTTACCTTCAAGACTTGTAGCAACCGATTCACATAGTTTCTCAGCTATCTCCTCAGCCTATAACATGCCACAACATAAGTTAGCTGCCTTCATGGGCTATTCATGGGATAAGGGATTGCGGATAACTCATGGAAAACATAAGAATCGAGAAAAATAATGGAAAGAGTAAACGAAGAACATACCACGTTCTTTGTCATAAGCCTGTCTTTAAGAGCTTTCAAAGCAGGTTCCAAGTCTGACTTGTCCAAATTCGCCTTGCCAGCAATACTGCCATGACAAGATGAAAAGAAAAAAAGGGAAAATTGAGCATCAATGGCATGAGAATCTAAAAATCTCAATAAAACTCGAATAAACTTAGCAATACATGTATGATTATTGCATACAAGTAAAATGATGCGTTGTGGGTGCTTCTCCACAAGATTAAAAAAAGTTAGGAACTGGGATATTGACTTTTTTTATTTTGAAAAAAAAAAAAAGAAATCTACCTCTGGAGCATAGACGAAAACCACCCCTTCTTCTTAGTATCAGGCTTACTTTCCTTCCCCACTTCTTCCTCCTCTTCACCCTCGCTTTCACTGCTAAAATTCTCTTCTTTGTCCATCATACTTTCACCTTGATCTGCTGCCACAACCTCTACAATGTTGTCCCCATTCTCACCCACAGAATCTGTGAAATCCAACTTTGTCTCAGGAGGTGAATCGTCCCAAACTCTATTCTTCTTTGTTATCATTTTCTTGGGCTCCACCTTAGGGCCCTTAATAACAACAGTATCCATTTTCTTCCCACCTTTACTTCTAAGCTTCTGGAGCTTATTTACATCAAAAGCCCCAATATTGGAACTTGTGTTTTCTTTCCCATTGAAGAGACCATTTACCTTAGGCTCTTCCACAGCAACACAATTACCATTGGAGAAACCATTCTCCAATCTACGCCGCCCTTTCACGCCATTGCCATCACTGCCATCGCTTCCCAAACCACCTTCAGTCTTCTTCTTATTTCCTCCTTCAGATCCAGCCTTTTGAACCTGCCCTTGCTTCTTGTTACCAGCCAGGGGCTTGCCCACTGGCTTCGATTTCTTCAACTCTTCGGCGCGAGCCTCAGCCTCCATTCTAAGTTGCCTAAAAGTCTCATCGAAGTCATTGTAGACCGTCCATTTAGGATCATAAATCTCCGAGAACTCGCGCTTCACTGCGGAAAGCAGATCATCCACATACAAGAGGTGGAGAATTCGCTGATAAACGGCAACAAAGACGAGGCCGAGTTCATTGTGGAAGGTCCATTTGAGGGTGTAAGCTGCTCCTGGGGCATCATAGTTGTAAGATGCTGCCCCAGAGCGCTCCTCCAAAAGACATGATCGGATCAAGGTGTCAATTGGAGACCCTTTAAGGGCGTTTCCAAGTTCCTTGCAAGTCCAGAGGATTAACCCTCCTCTTGTAAATATCAGCAATTGTTCTAACATCTTACTATTATTGAATCCCCTGCAAAACACATCAAAATTTCAAAATCAGAATTAAAAGAAATTGGAATCTAAAACAGACACGAAAAGTTAGGGAAAATCGGAAGGAAAACCTAAAAATAAAATGCCTTGCATCAAATTTCTTGTCCTTCAGACAACATACGTAATGGATTAAAAACTTTTATATGATTCCATACGAAACACGTTATTTTCAGATTAGCTCGATTTGGAAAATTAAGAACCACGCAATCAAATGAAATATTCAAGGATTTTCCGAGAAACTGAAATCAAGACGAGCTAATCTCGTGTCAAAACCGAAAGAACGTATTCAATTACAAAAAAAAAAACAAAAACAAAAACAAAAAAACAAAACAAAACAGAACGAATTCGCAACAAACCCGATTCCCAAATTCCATACTTTTCCTACGTTTTCTAGCTAACCAAAAAACTCTCAGAAACCGACGAGATCAAACCTTCAATAAACTCGATAAATTCAATTTTCGAAAAAAAAAAACGGTCGGAAAGAAAAGGAGAGAAGAAAATACCTGTTTTGTCTTCGATTCGCGAGAAACACCACGAGGAAAAGGAAAATAAAAAGAGAAAAAATGAAAAAAAAAAAAATGAAATTATTCTACATTCGGAGAAGGTTCTGATCCTTATATATAATGGGCCTGAGAAGAGAAAAGGCCTTCTAGTTGACTAATAAAAGGACACGGCTTTACCCATATTGATCGACTTCCACCGAGGGACAAAAATTTTCGGCTTTTCTGCGGCATGGCAGAGCAAAAACCATAGTTATAAGGTTATAGTTTGTTCATTTTACTGAGTTAAAATTTAAATTTTATTATAATAAAAAATTCTCAAAAATAATTATATTTAATTTTTTTATTATTATAAAAATTTTTTAAATAAAGTCATATATCAACTCGAATTAAAAACTCGAATCAACGAATTAAACGAGTCCTAAATAAAATACCATCAAGTAAGAGATTCGTCTTTCCTTTCCGCCTCTCTCTTCTTCTCTCTCATTTTGTCTGCATACACATGCCGTCGTCGTCTCCTCGTGAATTGTCTGCGACTTTAGATTGTTGACCAACAACGATCAAATCTCCAAGCTGTGATCTCCCCCTTTTTTGTTCTCTTTTCCCACAGTCGTTGGTTCCTTCGTCGTTGAGTTCTAGCTACCGACCTCATCCCTCTACGTGCGCCAATCTCGAGCTTCCTCCCCCTCACAACGCCATCTTCTTACCCAAGCACTCTCGCTTCCAGATCTGCGATCTCTTTCTATCTCTCTCTCAGTCTCATTTATCAGCACCGCCCTTCGATTGCAAATTTGCAAGGTCCTTCCATCAGAGGTTGAAACTCTGCAGGAGATCTCAGCCCATGATGTCACGCAGCCAATCGATCTACAGATCTCAAACTCGTGCAACCATCTATGTCGCCGCCGCGCAAATCTCAAAGGAGATCCATTGAGATTTCCTCCACCGCGGCGGCTGAGATTGGCGTTCTCCAAGGACCATGCGAGAAAACACATTGTTATTTGTGGGTTTTGTAATTCATAGTTCTGGTGGATTCTGTGGATTTTTTGTGGATCGTTTGTGATTTTAATGTTTTTTTATGATCTGATTTTTCAGTCGTGATTGCCAGCTGCCGGAAATGGTGGTTAGCGGCTGATTTTGTGGATATTTGTGATTTTGTGAATGTTTCTCTATGATTTTGGTTTTTGTTGTTGTTTAGTTTTCCTGTTGTCCACCACTGCTAATGGTGGTTTCCGGCTGATATGGGCAGTGGGGGCTAGTAACTCGGTGGTTACCAACCAGTAACTCGGTGTCACCGATTGGTAACCTGTATCGTGGCAGATACTACTTAATATCTCAACTAAATAGCGGTATTCCAGCAACTAAAGATTGGAAAGTTAAGTTTGGAGAACTGTGACACCTCTGTGTGGAGTTTTCCTTCTAATTTCTATATCTCTATATTTTTGTGAATTTAGATGTTGGAACCGTTGGTTTATTTTATTTTTATTTCAATTATGTTTTAGTTTTCTTGCTAGAGCTATGATGTAGTCTGGCTATGATATTTTAATTTTTCTTTATTCAAATTATTCATGTTTTTTTTTTTTAGATTGAGTGTTCTTTATTGTTCTTAATGCTTCTAATTAATTGTACACTAATAAGATGATTGGTTAATCATAATAGAATTAGAAGGGAAATTATGTGTCGAGTTCATTGTGTTGAATACTATAAATTGCATGTGAGATAGGAATACACGTGCATATTTTGTGTGGTCGATACATAAAAATCTATTAAACTAAATAACTACTTGATTATTGTAATTCACATAGGAATATATTAGGTTAACAATTAAGGGATTTTTAGTGTAACTCAAAATAGAGCATTCAATAAGTTAGAGATTTTCAGCTGTCAACTTGGATAATAAATTTGCATAATAAGAATTAAGGAATTAGAGTAGAGTAGTTATGGTGAAATTAGTTGCTCTAGTGTTTTAATTAGTAGGGTTGTTTTTATTATTTTAGGTTTTTTAAAATTTTTATTTGTTTCTTTATTATTCTCTTATTAGGTATTTCAAAGAATTCAAAACATCAATTTCGGTAATTAGTTAAAATTAACGCAATATTTATGGGAACAATACTAACTTATTAGTTTAGTATTAATTTTATTGGTGCCCCTTGAATTTTAGGATCATTATCACTTTTCCCTCTAAACTTTAAAAACTCTCACTTTATGTAACGCCATCCGGAATTAAACTTGTTTAATTATGATAATTGTGGTTTATTAGTGTGCCTAAATTTATTTTCTTAATTAATCATGAACTTTTAAATTTATTCTTAGTATTTGTAATTTCACCCCTATTTATTTTTTTTTGTTTTTCCTAAATATTCTTCCCAATTTTCTTTTCCTTCTATTTCTCCTTTTCCTTTTTTTCCTTATTTCTTTTTCCTTTCCCTTCCTCACGTTACTCTCTCTCTCCCTCTCTCGATCTCCCGTAACCCTCTCACTCACTCACACTCTCTCTTAGTCTCTCTCTCCCCCACCGAGCTTTCTCTCTCTCTCACTCTCGCCCATCTCTTCCTCTCTCTTTCTTTTAAGTTTTCCCTCTCTCTCAAGAAGGTTCTTGAACCGGATGTGAAGAAAAACGGAGAGTTTTAAGAGATTTTCAATATCAAAGCTTGGATCGAGGTAAAACTCTTTGAAACTTACTTTAGATTTTCAGATTTAGCCTTATGGAACTCGTTTTCGTCGAGTTTGGTGGTTTTTGGCTTAAATTTGTTTTTGAATGGAATCCGAATGGGATTTGGTGAAACCTTGATGAACATTGGTTGGTTTTGATTCTTTGGACCCCATTTGTTGATTTGAAACTGGATCTATACATTTCCCTTGAGAATATGTCGAAATCGGACCCAAAATTTACAGGTTCTGGCTTTGTTCCTCACGAATTGGCCATGGATGGCCTTACAATTTTTCCCCACCGGTTGACCGGTCCGGTCGACCAGTCACCCTTCCATAGGTCGACTGATCAAGTCGACCGGTCACCTCTCCACCGGCCGACCAGTGGAGTTACACTCCTCTGTCACCGGTTGACCGGTTCCCACTGAAACTGACCCTAAATAGTCCTAAAACCCTGTTTTGACCTTGAAACTCGATGTGGGATTGATCTAACCTCATTTGAGAACTCAAAATGAGTGGATTAGCCACATGAATCCTTGTGTTCCATTCGATTCTCCGGAATAAATCTCCATTGTCAAAGAATCATGATTTGAATTAAGAATTGTTTATGAACATTGATTTTGAACTATGGCACACTAATATGATACAATTGCATCTAAATAAACGAGAATATTTGGTGAGAAAGATCAAACTCTAAATTGTTGATTTTGATGGGAAAGATAGTGGCACGATTGGAATTGGAGCCTCAAAGGCAAGCGGAGCTAGGGCTACATGAAGACCGCCACAGGTTTGATATCCAAAAGGTATGATATTCTTGTCCATATCCTTGTTAGCCTTACTTTAAATGGTTTTAGCCAATGAAAATGTTTTAGAACAAAACATGTTTAAAGAAAATGATTTTAAGGAAATAGCATGAGAATGCTATTAAGTTTTTCAATGATTTTGGAAATGAGATTTTAAAGAGTATCATTTCTTAAAATGAAATATTTAAGGAATGATACAACGCATGGTGGCCACATAAATCGGGATGTAGGAATCGCATCCTTGGGGGCACGTCCCAAAACCCCTACGGATCCACTTCTTGTTTAGTGGAACAATGGCTCTGCACTTTTCACTTGACAGACATTTTTACCGCTTCTTGTTTAGTGGTATGATGAGCTGCACATTTTCATTATACAGATATTTTATACTATGTGAGTATTTCCTTTTCTAAAAAGGGATGACCGGTTCCAGGTGTATATCTTCAGACCGTGAGTACCTTTATTTTAAATGCTTTATAAAATTATATCCTACTGGGCCTTTCGCTCACCTTTCTTGCTTTCAAATGTATTAAACCCCTCCAGGCGACGCGAGGAGTAGTGCGGAGTAGGTAGCTACTACCGGTGACATGGACTTGACCTCGGAAAGTGAAGAGTTGTCTTTCCTCTTATCTTTTATTTCAAGGCATGTATAAAAGATTATGGATTGTAAACTTAGATATTACTAGACCGTGGTTGATGTCACATTTACTAATGTTTATATTCATGTATGTTAAACACCTGTGGAAATTCCTGACATGATACCAGGGACGTGGTTTTAAACTGGTTTGGTTAGAAATTCCACCACCGTTCTTGAAATTGAATTCCTCTTGAATAAAGGGGGCTTGTTTGGAAATACCTGGATGTTTTGGATTTGAAAGAAATTAAAATATTTACTAATCACTCTCTCAAACAGGTTTAAATTTCTAAACGAGCCTCCACGTCACTAACGCCGGTTTGGGGGCGTGACAGGACTTGGTATCAGAGCCCTTGGTTTAGAACCTTAGGGTTTGGAATTATGCATACATGAATGACATCAGGAAACCACTAAAATAGTCTAGCTTTCCTTTCAGATAAAAGAATGCCGCGCCGTAGAAACCCTAATCTACCGGCGATGCTGAATGAACAATTCATGGAAGCCATGTACGCCGCCTTCCAGGGGATGGCTACTAGAGCCCAAAATGAAGGTCCTGTGGAGGATAGAAAACAGAACTACTTCCGTGAGTACAGACGCAGTTCAATTCCTGCATTCACTAGCGCGGGTGGACCCCAGGAAGCCGAGTATTGGTTCGAATCGGTGTCTAAGCATCTAAGTACCATGGGAGTACCGGATGAGTATTGGGTGGAGTTCACAGTTTTAAGTTTAAAGGTCCTGCAGGTGCGTGGTGGAAGCATATTCGGCGAATGCATGGTGTAGAGGGGATGACTTGGGAACAATTCGAAGCGCTCTTTAATGAGCAATTCTTTTCCTAAAGTTATCGAGATGAAAAGGCCATGGAATTCATGGGCCTACAGCAAGGGGATATGACAGTGAGGGAATACGAAGCTAGGTTCAATGAACTGTCCCGTTTTGCTCATTCCTTGATTGAATCAGAGCGCATGAAGTGCCTAAAGTTTGAGAAAGGTCTTAAGGGTGTGATCCGAAAATCAGTGGTAGCTTTAAGGCATCGAGTCTATAGTGACTTGATTGTAGCAGCCATCTCTGTTGAACAAGAGCACATCGCCTTTCTCC